GGGAAAAATGTTTTTAGTTTCCATTTTTCTGTGTAATTAATTCAAAAAATACTTTCAGGACCCCACCTTGATGTTTCAGGACCCCACTGTGGGTCCCRACCCCATCGACCCCATCTTTGGGAACCGCTGGTATAGATCAATGTTCTTTCTGACTGCACCTCTAGACTATTCTTGTTTGTTGTCCGAGCACATTTCTGCAGTGCCCACGAACGTTTGACCAATCACACAATACCTGTTGAGAAAAAGTTCATCTCGACTCCTTGTCGAGAAAAGGGCGGGCAAAACTGCTCTTCGAACAAAACGGCGCAATTTTCGTCACACGGCTGCATCAATGAGAGCTGATTTTGCAGCTTCGGATGGAGAATGTAAGAGTCTTTTATGGCGTTGAAAGAATCAAGTGTCCCGCTTTCTTTGGCGTAATGTAACTGCGGCTACAAAAACATGGTGTTCACCCAGAGATTTAACCAACATCTCTCTGGACTTAAGAGGCACAGCTTTCTCTTCAAACACACTGGATATGGCATACTACTAGCCAATCAGAAATAGGATGGGGGCGGGACTTCGAAGTTTTATGAAGTTTTAGATAAAAAAAAAAAAGAATATTTGTCAGAACAAAATTGAAAAAGAACTGGAGACAACATCGAATCTGGTCAATTTTTAAAAACCAGCAGTTGGAGAAGATAAATGTGCAGAAGAAGGCTTACTGAAAGAGTGAGGAAGACCACCAGCAGGTGCACGCTAATGTTAGCTAGACCCAGTTGGTGCGTTCCATTTACATCGTATTCCTGTAAATGGTAAATGGTAGTGACGTCATTTCCCAACAAACCATATGAAAGTACATTTCAGTTAGCCGACAGGCGATATTGCTGCCGCTAACCTAGCTACAACACTGCTACAATATAAACAATGACAAAAAGAGAGCTCTACTACGTACGTCATGCAAATAATTGATTTTTAATACGTACAGTATTTCACAGAAAACGCACTACTTGTGCAAGTAATTAAAAATGCACAAAAAATTAGGAAATATAATTAACAGTAAAAGTTACGGAGTTAACTTTATAAAGCTGCGAGTAGCCGCCATCTTAAATCGAAACTGGGGGCAGTTTCATTTCTTCCACTATACGAGTGGAATATTACCACTGGAGGGGCGTTCCAGTTTAAATCTACCAATGGGAACAAGGAAATTACCACTTCCCAGGACTACTGGAATGCACCGATAGATAAAAGAGAGGAGCAGTGCACAGCCTGTGTTAGTATAATTGGCTGTTTGTTGCCTTAATTTAGGGAATTAAACAATATTGATGCTAAAAGATAAATTTGTTTGAACAAATTCGCAGCAAAGCTGCGTCTCTGTTTAACTTTTGGAAAAGGTTCGAGCTGAGTCATGCTACTAAGAACTGGACACTGCTCAAACACCAAAAATGGTTGTTTTGAAACAATCTACGCCACGACTCGTCTAATGACTCGGCTGCTCGGCCAATCRGTGACCTGCAGTCTGCGACCCAGGAGACCCAACTAACGTTGATGAACTCTACAATCTATTCCAAGCAGAGTACAGACGTAGAACTGGATGAAATGCAACTTGCGAGTACCGGTGTGTATGTTTGAGCTGGTGTGTTTTATTGTAGTCTTGGTTCGAGGAAATCCACAATAAAGTCAATCTCTGCACCCACTTCTGGTTTTTCAAACTCATTGAAGCCATGTGTGCCGTAATTTGTTCCATCCTGGAAAAAGAACCCTTCAAAAAAACATTAAAAGGCCCAGACTACTGTGACGTAAAGCTCTGTCTGTAACTGTCTTAATTAAGAGCCTCCTGTAGATTTGTTCCATATTTCACAAGTTGTCCTCTTAAGAAAGAAAGAGGGGAAAATTCATCCATGTAGATATTTCTCTGTGTAAACACAGCTGTCACTGTGACTCTGAGTCACCTGTTCCTCCTCGTCCCCGCCTCCCGCCATGAACCAGACGGGCCCAGTAAGGACACATGACGCAATCCTGGCAATCCGGCGTCCGAGTTCAAGGTGCTTCTCCTGACCCGCTGCTCTGTTGCGTAAAGCACCTGAGGGCAGATAACGACACTCGTGGAAGTCGGCGTTCCATTTTATTAAATTTTTATATCGAGTCACAAGAAGTTGACGGAGGCAGGAGTGGACTTTCTGAAAAGTTCTGAGAGGCTGCTGAGACCCAGAGGGTTTTGAACGGGTGTTTAAACACACCTGATCTTCTACCTATGTGTGCTCCAGAAGACCACCCGCAGGATGGGGGAAAAAAAACCCTTTTTATCTATTTCCAGTCAAATACTGTCTGAAGTGCAAATAATCCAAACCTTAAACTATTTGTGTGTCAATATGAGATTCACTGAAATCCCAGTTTTCATCCTGCAGACTCATTTCAGACGTCACTGCCGAGTAACTGAGCAAAAGTTTTAGAGGAGTGTTAATGCTGCAAGGTAAGATCGTTTTCGTAAAAGCTCAGCTGGTAGGTTTGTTCCCAACATGTTGAAGAACTGACCTCAGATTAGGGGTGCACTGATAAATAAATCAACCGGACAATTTATCGGCACAGATATCCTTAAATTTGAGAAATCGATGATCAGACAGAAAACTGCATTAAGTGCACCGCATGTTTTCTGTCTTGTAGTTGAGATCAGGTCTCAGTTCTGAGTGAGATCAGCTAAATGTTTGATCCTGAGTGTTTGAAGTGTCCTGATGACAGTCAAGATGTGTTCATCTCAAATTAAATCGTTGTGATCCTAATGTCTCACAGCCCAGCTTTGCAGGTTTTCTTTTATTTTTTTCCTTCTTCTTCCGCTTGCTCGAAACTTCAGCTCATCTCCGCACATCAGCTGACAGGAGCTGTCTTTGAAAATTACAGATCTGGGAGTGCGGATCTGCTCGGCTTCGACGGCTTCTTGTCTCCGTCTTTTGTTGCTACAAATGTCGCCTTTCTTGTGCAAATCAGCCTCGCTGTCAGAGACGTGGAGGGGGTCCGCGGGCCAGCTGCCGCGTAAACTCACGCTGTTTCTGCAGCTCCTTCTCGATGTTCCGTACACGGAACGGAAACTAGGCCACGCGGACTTTCTTTTGCTTGGGAAGGACGTTTGTACCGTTCTGTAATGAGGAGATGATGTGGGTGTTTTTCAGGTTTATGGCTCCTCAAACAGAACACGGTCAGGATTCCTGCCTGTGATCATAACCAGCCTCTGGTACATGAGGCTTACTTATCATGGCTCATCGTTTCYACAGGAACACTCCCCTTCATCTGATGAAGCTGCTCACATTATCTTAAAAAATCTCTAGTTGCAGTAGTTATTGCTGCTCTGGAGCATACAGGTGTGTGTTAAGACAACGCCAGGGTGGAAATATCAGCAATGACCTTTTAGAAGCAGCTGCTGTTGCTCATCCATCTGGGAAAGGTCAAAGGTCATTTCCAAACAATTCACTTTGCAGAGGAAGTGGAAAACTGTTAAGACGGCTGTCAGTCTTCCCAAGAGTAGACGTTCCTACCAATGAACCCGAAGCTCAGATCGTGCAATACTCCTTTAGACTAGGATATTGGAAAAAACCTGACGTTGTGATTTATTTTTTCTAACTCTGCGATATATAAAATTAACAATAAACAAACCCAACTTTTTG